AAGACTGCTTTGATTTCTCACCGGATCCACCCCTAGGCCTATATTTAAACATACTGCACTTAATTGTAAATTGGGTTTTCTTTTTCTCTGCCTAAATGAATTTACACTGCAAAATAAAGTTACACAGCGAAGAAAAAGGAAAAAAAACTTAAATTAGTATTTTTGTCTTCTTTTCAATCTAAAACAAAATGTAGTAAGAAAAATAAACTATATTCTCTGAAAATTCTCATCTTACCCAGTTACACAAAATTAAATGTATCTTGCTTCAAGGATGTTTAGATATTTTTACATCATAAAAATAAGCTTTTTTTTCCCCCCCAGTGTAAGCCAATCTTATTTCAGAGCATCTAGGTTACATCAATCAGTTATGATGGACGGAATCACAAAAAGGACAATTTGTACCCATTTTTACAGCAAATATCTAAATGATCCTGACAGTGAAATGTCTCTGTATAGTCATTATTCAGTTACATCTGATTAAAAGAGAGAATGGTTCATGTGTTTTGTGGATTAATGTTTGTATGATGGTCTTGCTTGAATAATGACACTGCCTGCCAGTAACCATTGTCTTTAAAGGGAGAGTCCCCCCAAACACATGTACTTTATTTCTAGATACTCATCAATGCCATATTTGGATCCTTCTCTGCCCAGTCCAGACTGTTTGATTCCACCAAAAGAGGCTTCTGTGGTGGAGATCAGACCTTCGTTGACCCCAACCATGCCCACCTCCATCTGCTCAGCCACCCGCCAGATCTGACTGATGTCTCTGGAGTAAAAGTAACCTGATAAAAGAAAACAGTTTTGAATGTAATTCCATAGAAAGAGCCAAGTGATAAAAGGTATGTAGCTGCTGTTTGCTTTACTTGACCATTCAGACACATAAGGGTACAGTGGAGCTAAAGGAAAATATGATTTTTCTGGTCCCAAATATATGAAAAAAAAAGCATATATACTCTGCCGACCAGAAGTTTAAAATAAATAAGAAATGTTTTTTTTTTTTTGAAAGAAGTCTCTTATGCTTACAAAGGCTGCACTTATTTGATTAAAAATACAGTAAAAACAATAACATTGTGAAATATTAACATGAAATTAATTTGCACAGATGGACAAACCTGCTAAACCAACAGGAGAAGCATTGGCAATGGCAAGTGCCTCCTGCTCTGTGTTGAACCTGGTGAAGAAAAAAAAAGTCAGCAGCAGACACAACCAGACATCATCAGACAAATCATTCACGCTGAAACATGTAGCCCATTGATACCCATTTACAAAAAAAGTGTTATAAAAATGAAAAAAGTAATAATTACAAATCTTACATTTTTTAAATAATCAAATGAAACCTAAATATTTTTTAGAAACAATTGAAATTAAACTCAAAATTGTTATGCTGATAATACAGTATATGATTAAATCTGTAGATAAATATGTAACGTAACGTGTTTTAAATTACAAAATTTGAAGTTAACATGAAGTCATGTAATACAATAAACAGTAAATACTCACTTAACAACAGGAATAAGGGGTCCAAAGGTCTCCTCTCGCATGCAGAGCATGTCAGTGTTGACACTGGACAGCAGGGTGGGCTGCATGAAGGAGCCCTCCAGTCTCTTCCCACCTCGAACTATGACTGCTCCCTGTGCCACAGCATCTGCAATCTGGTTCTCCACCTGAAAGAAACAACAGCTGATCAACACCATTAAACCCATCATCTTAACCACATGATCTGTATGAGTGCTTGTTGACAGTGACATTAGTGTTTGTATCCAACAGAATCATCAGTTACTGTATTTGCTATTGGCATGAGGCACCTTCTCTGCAGCGCGGGTGTTGATGAGCGGCCCTTGTGTGGTGGTGGGCTCTGAGCCGTGGCCAACCTTCAGTTCGGCATCCATAGCCTTCGCCAGCTTCTCCATGAAAGCATCATGGATCCCACTCTGCACCAAAAAGCGGTTGGAGCACACACAGGTCTACAGCAGAGAGACACATTACAGGTGAGACATGGAAAACAGCTGTTTACAGTTACAAAAATGTCAAGTACACCATAGTATTTACATGGTACTCAAAAGGTACTTCAAAGAATGCCATGGTTCTGAAACCTTATGAGTACCTGAAGTTCACTACTTCACTCATTATTTATGAAAAACATTTACTTTTCTTCCTTGAAAATTGTGCAAAGTGTCAATGTACGGGTCAAATTTCTCCCCAAAATAAACCGGAAAAAAATAAGCAGCAATATTTTGCATAAAATAAATTAATTTAATGGGATAGTTCATCCAAAAATGAAAATTCTGTCATTGATTACTCACCCTCATGTCGTTCCAAAAACCCATCCTTTGTTCATCTTCGGAACAAATTAAGATATTTTTGATGAAATCCGAGAGCTTTTTGACCCTGCATAGACAGCAACGCAACTGAAAAGTTTTATGGCCCAGAAAGGTAGTAAGGACACCGTTAAAATAGTCCATGTGACATCAGTGGTTCAACCGTAATGTTATGAAGCTACGAGAATACTTTTTGTGTGCAAAGAAAACAAAAATAACGACTTTGTAAACAAGGTTGTTCTACGTCAGAACGCCAGCTCCTGCATCAGCAGCATCGTCACACACATGCATCATGGTACTCTCGTGAATGGTGTTGCTGTCTATGCAGGGTCAGAAAGCTCTCGGATTTCATCAAAAATGTCTTAATTTGTGTTCCAAAGATGAACAAAGGACTTATGGGTTTGGAACGACATGAAGGTGAGTAATTAATGACAGAATTTTCATTTTTTTGGTTGAACTATCCCTTTAAGAGTGAAATATACTCACCTGGCCTGAGTTCCTGAATTTGGAAGCCATCGCTCCTGCAACGGCTTTATCTACCTCAGCACTGTCAAATACAATAAAGGGGGCGTGTCCTCCCAACTCCATGGAGACCCTTTTGACAGTTCCTGCAGCATGTCTTAGTAGTACCTGCAAAAGCATTTACTTAAGTGATTATAAAATTATGTTGAACATTAAATATTGACTGCACAAAGAAGTGAGATCTTTACCTTGCCAGTGGCTGTGGAGCCGGTAAATGAGATTTTGGCCACGAGAGGGTCTGTGCAGAGCAGCTCCCCAACAGCAGGGGTCTTTTCTCTTGAGCAGGGCACCACATTAAACACCCCAGGAGGAATGCCGGCCTGAACCGACAGCTAGATAGGAATACAATGCATTATGCACTCTTTCATACACATTACTGTTCAAAAGAAATGAGAATTTGGTTCTCATTATTATCAATGTTGAAAACAGTTGTGCTTTGTTGAATACAAAATAAAAAACAGCATTTGTTACAATGTAATTTACAAAGTATTTGTCACTTTAGAACGATTTAATGCATCCTTGAATAAAATAATTAATTCCTTTCAAAAAGGTTTTTCAAAAATTACAATCTTACAGACCCCAAACTGGTTCATCTATAAAGTTTGCAGACTGGTAAATGTCAAGTTAAGCAGGCTTTCATGGAAACAGACAGACCTCAGCAAGGGCCAGAGCAGAGAGAGGCGTGTCCTCAGCCGGCTTCACCACCACAGTGCAGCCCACCGCAAGCGCTGCGCCCACTTTCCTGGTGATCATGGCACTGGGGAAATTCCACTGTGAAAAGGGAAAATTTTAAATCTCAACTGGGAGCTGACAGTTTTAGTTTAGCTCATTAAACCTACAGCCTGATGGTGTTATGTTATCAGAATGAAGGAGGAAGTCTCACAGGTGTAATGATGGAAGCCACTCCCACCGGCTGCTTGAGTAACAGGATCTTGCGGTCCTTGGCTGGAGGTGCGACAATATCTCCATATACACGTCTGGCCTCTTCAGAAAACCACTCCAGAAAGGAGGCAGAATATGTCATCTCACCAACAGACTCCTTCATGGGCTTCCCCTGTACACACATTTGAGTTATAACCAATTCTAATATCTGAATCCTTGTAAATAGTAACGTTAGATGTACCCTGTATGTAATGGTCAGAATACCTACAGACTCGGCTGTGATCAACTTGGCAAGATCTTCCTTGTGCTCATTGATCAGATTAAACCATTTCCGCAGCAAAATGCTTCTTTCCTGCAAAGAGCATGTATCAATATGTATATCAGAACTTCTGAGCATGATTAAATACTTTATGATTTAAATAAAAAAAATTTTTTTCAATTTCATAAAATTTAAATTAAATGTTATTAATATTGTGAAATATTATTACAATTTCTAATAATTCTAATATGCTGACTTTTTTGACCAAGAAACGTTTCTTCTTATTATTAAAGTTTTTTTTTTTGCTCAAGAAACATTTCTTATTATTATTATTATCAATGTTGAAAACAGTTGTACCACTATTTATTTCAGTAGAAATCCTTTTTTTTTTCCAGGATTCTTTGATGAATAGAAAGTAAAAAAAAAAAACAGCATTTATTTAAAATAGGTTTTGTTTTTTTTGTAACAATGTAAAAGCGTTTGTCATTTTTGATTAATTTAATGCATCCTTGCTGAATATAAGTATTAATCCGACCAAACCATTTCGGAGAAAAAAAAAATAAATAAAAAGGTTCTTACCTGCAAAGAGCATGCATCAGTATGTATATCAGAACTTCTGAACATAAATAAATACTTTATCATTTAAATATTTTTGTATTTGTTTATAACTGTATTTATTTCAATTAACTTCTTTTTAATACATATTTTTTATTTCATTTATTTACATCTTAATTTAAATTTTTATTTTTTCACATTATAATGAGAATTGTGAGGGAAAACTGTCATGAAAATAATCACAATTGTCACAAATTGCAAAACACAGCTCTAAGTAAATGGTCTCCCCCCAAGTACCTTTGAGTACCATGCACTGTAAATACCAAGGTATTACCATGCGATTTCATAGTAAATAAGGTATTTTGTAATTATGTTTAACTTCGTGCGTTCCTGTAAAGAATTAAGGTCTAATATAGAAGAGTTATGAATGACAGTCATGCTCATTAAAAACATTTCCCACAAATCACCTTGGCTGTCTGACTCTTCCACAGGTAAAACGCTTTGTACGCAGCATTGACAGCGTCTTGAGCTTCCTTTGTACCGCAGTCTGACACCTTCGCGATCTCTTCTCCCGTGGCTGGATCGAACACGGGGAATGTGGATGTCGCGGAGACCCAGCGCCCTTCTATGAAGGCTTCAGTCCGCAGGAGCTGCGCTGACACATCGAGGCTGTAAGGCCGCTGCAGCATGATGGGTAAGCCAGAGAACACCTGCTGGAGAATACACCGACCTCTTGAGAGATATAAACTGCCCATGATAAAAAACTGACAGGTCTAATAAAACCCTTTATATGTTCGTCAGCAGGTTGAGGCGTGCAGGAGTCTAATATCAAGCTCATTCCAGTCCAGAAAAGAGGGCGGTTGCTTTAAACACGTGATTTCATGCACTTTACATTATACTATCGACTGTTACACATACACACACACACACACACACACACACACACATATATATATATATATATATATAAATTTGTATCTTTGTATCTTAATTAATTTCCACTATCACTCCAAAAATGGTAAAGAGGGATTAAAAAAAAGTAATAAGTAATAATTGTCCAGTGGATTGCGTGTTGTGAATCTCTTTGCATTTCACTCACTGCAAAGCGGAAGTACAATCCGACTTCTCGAGACGGTAGTGATGGTCAAAGACTGATGGTAGCGACGTCCGATACATGAACGAATAATTTTTTAGTCGGATCTTTTCAAACCATAAACGATTCGCTCACGAATCAGGCCGGAGTGAAACGAGAACCATGTATTACATGTCCGATTCATAATGAGCCATGAACAGAACTGTTCAAAGGAACCGATTCGCGTAAATAAATCATAATGAATCACATAAAGGTTTTTTTTTTTATCACAATACTGGGTTGTTATAATCACCAAATGCACAACTGCGACCTCTGTGACAACTTTACATAAGCGACTGTGCAGGATACGTTTAATTATTCTAAAATCTACAAATATATTCTTAACATATTTATTTCAAGTTCTTTTACATATAATAAACCACTGTTTAACCTACAGAGAATCTGTAGGACTTCTTTGTTCTTGTGTTCCTTTAAACAACAACATCAACTAGCATCATTGTTCCAGATCTTGATGTACATGTTACAAACACTCATTATATTAGTACACTAAATTGTCTCAGCAAACAAATGAACAAATCAACAGCAACTGGTGATAAATACATACAAATACAGGTGCATCTCAATAAATTAGAATGTTGTGGAAAAGTTCATTTATTTTAGTAATTCAACTCAAATTGTGAAACTCGTGTATTAAATAAATTCAATGCACACAGACTGAAGTAGTTTAAGTCTTTGGTTCGTTTATAAACTACTTCAGTCTGTGTGCACTGAATTTATTTAATACACGAGTTTCACAATTTGAGTTGAATTACTGAAATAAATGAACTTTTCCACGACATTCTAATTTATTGAGATGCACCTGTATATGTATTTATATAAAACAAACTACATAATGACATTATTTCAGTAAGAGATTGTGTGAAAAACTTATATATTCATTTGAAAACTTAGAGAACAGCACTAGAAGTCCCTCGAGCGAAAAATGATGCTCCTTTATCATGGACTTTAAAATGAAATATTTTTCGTTGGTTGTAGATGGTCTCTTCTCCCTGTCGCCACCAAACCTCCATCTAAAAAGAAAAAACAACAACAAAAAGTCAGCTCACTTCAGAGCCATTTTTTACAGTAAACAGTAAACTTTAATATGAAATTGCACCTGTCCATGTATGTCCCTGCAGTAGCCCGTTGGTAACCCCTCTACATGTAATGCCAAGTTACACTGATGAACTAGTCCCCTCCGGAGCAGGTTTGATCCCTCTTCATCATCATCTGCATCCTCCTCCTCACATCTCACCAGAATAACCATATTTCCCTGGATATCATTAGACATTTATAGTTAATTTATCATAATACAGTACGAAACCAACTGCATCTGACATTATTTTAGGCACTGATGCAAAAAACACTGACTCACCTGTAACTCAGAGCACACAGTGGCTTGGCAGTAGAGGGTAAAGTCTAGTATTGCTCCAACACTAACACCTAAACTCAGGAGCACACTGAGATCATCTATGAGTAACACTGGAGGACCCCATGATTCACCAGCATCACCATCTCCACTCTGACGCACAGAACGTTCCACAAATCTGAACAGACCTTCCAGTCCAGCACCTGGGGTCCTAGACAAAAAAAAAAAAGGCAAAATCTTATATAACACTATAGGAAGAAAGAATTGAGATAAAATATATTTAAACTAGATTTTCATAACATACTATACGTGCCTGAGATAACTCAAGGGTTGTGTCTCCTGACTGGTGTCCTCCTGTAATATAACTCCAATAGAATTCTTCAGTCCTTCAAGAAACACTAGCTGGCCCTTCTCTCTTGCCTGGGCCAGACTCACTCCCTGCCCAGAAACATTATGATCAAGACCTGTAAATGTCATCAACAAAATGTCTAAACAGAGCAAGTTGATGTAAACTTACCAGCCTCTGACCGACAGCACTGTAGTGACTAAAGGACTGCACAAGACCCAGAAAACACACCTTACAGCCAGCTGGAAATATACAAGTTTAAAATGAAATGAAATGAAATAAATACATTAATTTTCCTCACTATAAACAATAGGTCACTTACCACGTAAGTAGAAAGACAGATGGTGATGAATGAGAAATGATGCATCAGCTCGTCTGTCTGACACCAGGATAAAGTCACTCTATAAGTACAGAGAACATCGGTTAGAGTCAGTGGCATTGTGTAAGTTACTTCAAGCTTGTAATGAGATGTAATTACCGATTTGAAACTGTCTGGAGTGGAATTGAGAATACTGTTCAATTCTGGAAACATGTTTGTGAGATAGATATGAACTTGACAACAGTTGAGCAGGATATGATGGTGCTGTCTCCTCTCTACTACTCCAGATCTTCAGTATTTCTCATGCTGGCAAGAAAAACACAATTGTAAACAAAAGCAAAGCATGTACTTTTAAGTGCATCCATTCCTGTGTATATGTAGCGCAAGTTAGCATGCTAAATTAATATTAGCGTTGCGTAAGTATTCAAAGTATCGAAAATAAAATAAAATAATAATAACATACCTGCACCGTCTGCAATTACATAGTTTTCTTTTAAAATATGTACAAATATGAAGAAATATATCACGTTTACCTGTTATGCTAGTCAACGTGGGTACGGAAGCCGCGTGAAGACAATCTTTCCGAAAACGCGTTTTGGTAGAGTAACTCGTGAGGAAATGTGAATGAATTTATTATTTTTTTAAATCAGTGAAAGATTTTTTTTTCCTTTAAAAAAACTAGAAGATATACAAAACCTTAAAAATATTTATTTTGACCAGAGATAAAAATGTAGCTGCAAGTGCACTAAAGACAGGCCCAGATAGTGTTTCATTACAAAAATATGCGTAAAAAATATACAAACAAGAAAACTCAGGAACAAACTGTTGTTCTTTGTTATGTATCATGTACTTGGGTCTACTTTTAGTTAGAACTCTAAGCATTTGCTTCCAACACACTGAAATACAAGTAATTATGCCCATCAAACTTTACAACAAAATAAAAGTGTAAACATAACTTGCTTTAGGCCTAAAACTAATTTCAACAGATTATCAATGTTTTTACCTATAAAGCACTGTTGATGACATCCTATACAACAGAAATCCTAAATGCATAATAAGCAAGAAAATTATAAGGGAAAAACATTCCCTTAACCAAATGAATCCCCCATTACTCAATAAATAGTATAATCATGTCCTCCAAAATCGTAATATTCATGGGTTTCGATAGAAGAAAACTGTAAATTTGCATATGTACTGAGCAAAAATCAGTTTTGCACAATAATGGTAATGCAAGCCCTTGAAATTCAATTCATGGAATGTTAATCATCAGCTGTGTACCTGGAAAACATGTCAAAGATAATGCAAAACAATTTTTATATGAGAAGAAAATCTATAGAACATTTGAACAAAATTGCATTCACATTTTAAAACTTGACATACAAAGCGTGAACGCAACCGATGATATAACTTCACTTAAGGACTGACTGTAAAAGCTGCTAACATCTATAAAGAAAGCAGCTGGGAAAATTTACAGGGAAAGTCGAAACACATGGACCAGACCATGAAATGCAAGCAAAGACATGTTGCATATTTTTTAGAGCATGAAACACTGAAATGCAAATCGTGATTTAGTGTCTAACAGAACAAAGGAAATGATGTAAGATTAAAAAAAAAAAGTGAAACATCCAATGAACTCTAAAATGAGTAAATTATCTTTATAAACCGCTAAAAGTATTATAATACATGAGAGTCTGTTTACTAAGTAAATACATATCTACTGATTATCACACGACTGCATTAATAAGACATGCCTCACACTTTAGGAGCAGGTCAATGTTACACAAAGCCATAACATAAGTCATCTTATCTTGAATAATGTCTAGTATTGTTCGTTATATAAACTACTGTTAACCTTCATTCTAAATTTCTTATGTCACTATTTTAGGAATGTTCCAAGTTCAAGTTAAACTCTACCAACTGCATTTGCAATTACAATTTTGACTTGACGTTCATTTTTTTTTTTAAGAAAGAAAAATCGTGGTTATAATAAAGCACAACACTGCACCAGGCAATAAGCATTCAGCTTGTAAACCTAGTAATTTTTGCACAATATTTTCATGGTTCACTGACCTTGAATATCGTTTAAAAAGGCCTATTTTGCATCTCAAATCATAAATTTCATACCGATTCATTAATGCAGGTCATTTTACAAAAATATCAGCTTCACCTTTATGTTTTTAAAACCTCCAGAACACTGTCCCAGTTGATTTTTATCAAAGTGCATTACTATAACCACAACTTGCATTTTTAAAAAAATAAAACTTAAAGAACGAGTCAAAATTGTGTGTACCCAGAACATTCAGTACACTATGGTGTGTACTAACAGTACAGTATGCATTAGAGGTGCATAACAGGGCTTGATTGAAAAGCATTATCACTAAATCTTCTATAACTTGCACGGCTGTATGTTAAAAAGACACGTCTGGTCTTCCTATTCTGTCAATCTGAGCAACTCCGCATCGTTGTGGCCACCTAAATATAACTCATGCTACATCTTTGTAGAGGTTTGTACAGAAACTGAATGCTATGAGTAAAAAAGGATAAAAACAAAAGGTTATGATTTACAATAAATAAATACAATGTCACACTCCAGGCACACAGACTAGAGTGTATGTAATTCCTGAGTGTTTGAGTCTCTGGGTTCACTGCTACGGCGTGCCCTCTGAGGTGGCTCTAATATCTGCAGCCTCTACTAACGTTACTGTTTCTCCTGCTGTTGAGTCAAGGGGCTCCTCTTTAATAATGATGGCCCCTTCTGGCAACATGACAACTTCCTCTTCGCCAACCACCTCCTCCTCTTCCTCTTCCTGGAGCACCACTTCCTCTTGGGGCTCTGTGCTGGTGCCATTGGTCTGCCCGTTGGCAATGGCCTCTAGTTTAAGCCTGTACTGCTCAGCTTCCTGTTCCTTTCTTAGTAACTGCTGTCTGTACTCCTGGGCTTTTCTGTTTGCTTCTTTTAGCTGCTGTTCCAGTAGTTCCCGACTGTCCTTCTCAGTGGGCTCCTATAGAAAACACCGAATAGTTAACGGTCAAATTGATTTTGCATTCCAAAGAGTAAGATTTAAATAGGAATCTCTGCTCGTCAAACCTTATGTTTGGCATCTGTGTGGTTGATGGTTGATTCAAATTTCCGCTTCCGTGTTGGGACTGGTTTGGTGACCTCTGTTATGATTTCTTCTGCAATCTGACCCGCTGGCACTGCAACCACTAAATATATACAGGCATGTTACAATATAAATACTGCATCAAAGTCTGTAAACTATAAACTAGCAATCTACTCACTTTGCTGCCCCTGCATTGTGACAAAGAATTTCTGTCCCAAGTTGCCAGTCTGCAGGTTTCCCTGTTGGTCGGTTACTATGGTGATGACTCTCTGGCCATCCTCCCCTACAAGATGCTGGATGGCAGAATCTACCGAATCAGCAGCAATCACACTCTCTGCAGCTCCTGCTGGGATATAGCAGCAGTTTGTTTGCAAAGGAGAAATACACAAATATAATAACATTCTCTATGTGCATCCTGTTCAAATAAAAGTTAAATAAAACTGGTCAATTAAATACTGCTGCAAAACATCAATGTCAAAATGAACATTCAACAAGCATGAAATGCAAGAAAAATTGGCTCTAGGGAGTAAATAAAATAACAGTTGGCTGGTAATTTTGTTATGAATTGTGATAAAATTGGTTTAAATTAATCAAATTTAAAGCGCGATTTAAATCAAAGTCACACAAACCTGCTAAAGAAACGTTGCAACTCATGCATTTGCTAAGTTGTACCCAAAGGAAAAATAAATCATCATAGGTATACAAAGTATGCCTAAAGTTTTTTTTTCTTTTTCAAACATGAGGCAATACATACAGTACTGTTCAAAAGTGTGAGGTTGGTTTTTAATGTTGTTGAAAGAAGTCTCTTATGCTCACCAAAGCTGCATTTATTTGATAAAAAAACAGTAAAAAAAAGTATTATTGTGAAATATTATTACAATTAAAATAACTTTTCAATTTTAACATATTTTATAGTTTTATATTTATATATTTAAATGTTAATTTATTCCGGTGATGGCAAAGCTGAATTGAAAAGTCTTTTAGTCATGATCCTTCAGAATTTTTTCTAGTATGCTGATCTGGTGCTCAATAAATATTTGTTTTTATCAGGGTTGAAAACAGTTGTGCTGCTTAATATTTTTATGTGCCAGGTGATAATTTGTAAGGATTCTTTTATAAAAAAATTAAAAAAAGTAGTGTATGTGGGAAAACTCCTTGCATTAAGCCAACAAACTGAATATACTAGGGGAAAAAATACGATTCATAAGGAGAGAACAGGTTGGCATAGCCATTGTCATAGGGACAAAAACTTTTTTTTTTTAAATAAAAATGATGTAAAACACAATTTCAATAATTTTGTCATTCACTCACTATTGACAAGCATGGAAACAAAATGTAACGAAACTCATACCTGTGTTAGCCTTAGCATTAGTGAGAACAATATCAGAGAGATTGACGACTCCAGAGGAGGAGATGATGAACTGAGGGCTGGCTGTGGCGGGTGATGTGCTGCTTAGGATAGTCCTCTCTGGATTCATGTTCACTTGGTTCTGCATTCCCTCCTAGAATAAAAAAACAAACCATCAAGTTGTAAGACTGCAGCCTGATTTTGCCTATCAACTTTAAATACACAACAGCTGGTGCATTTTACATTGTGCTTTGATATTTGATGATCAACACATCATTAAAAATGCAGTCTCATTTGTACCTGTAACAATAGCATCAGCTCAGTGTTTCCTCGGTCCACCGCAATGTTAAAAGGCGTCTTGTCAAACTTGCTGAGGGCATGAGTATCAGCTCCGTATTTGATCAACAGCTCCACGACAACTCTGTGCCCATGTTCTGTAGCCCAGTGCAGGGCGGTCATTTTCAGCATGTCTTTGGCATTGATGTCTGCTCCACTCTGTCCCAGATATAACAGATATAATAACTCAACAAAAAGTCAGAATGGCTAAATATTAAAAAATCCAATACTATTCTGCATTCATCTGTTCTTACCTTGACCAATAGCTCAACGATGCTTGAGTGGCCCTCTGTAGCAGCCATGTGGAGGGGGGTCCGATCGACTTTAGTGCGGGCATCTCTACTCACGCCAGCACGGAGAAGCACCTCAGCAGTGGAGTAGTGCCCGTATTGCGCTGCTAAATGAAGCGGCGAGGTTCCCAGCTAAAACATATTACCATATTCATGTTATATTAAAATTCAGATTATAAATTGCAGACAATAAGCAACGAACAGCAAATACAACTCACCCAGTCTGTAGTAAAAGGAGCTCCATTGGCCATAAGTGACCTCACTTCATCATCCTGTCCTTTGCGTGCTGCCTCCAACAAACGCTTACCCAAATCCACAAGCGACATCTAATCATGCAAATAAGGTTTGAAGCATCAGAATATAGTGAATATGAAATATAGAAATTTCTTGACAGCCACCTGTTTACATTCATGGGGTGTTTAACCAGGTGCAGTGTTTCAAAGAAAATGCCCAAAAGATGTAAAGCAGGAAATGGTTTCCATATATACACTGTATGCTGAATGACACTGTGGTTATATTAGTCATAAGACTGTATTCCACAAGGATCGAGTGTTTTTAAGTGCCAGGAAGCGGATGTGTACATTAATGTTAGACAGGATTCATTATCAGTGACAGGACGGGAAATAGTCATCATTTTATAATAAGGCAAGTTCCGGGGGAAGGTTTCATGCTTTTGTTGACAAAATTGCTGGACGGACATTTTCATAATTTTTAGTCACGCACAGTCAGGTTTACTGTCAATTACGCAGTGTTATTATTTAAATAAGTTTCATTTCTATATCATAACAATTATAACAATTAGCTAATATCGTTACCTTAGTTATCTTTAACGAGATTTTCGTAATATATATACAGTAAATATATATTTTTATGAGCACGCTAATAATCTGGCATTAAGAACATGACTAAATTTATCATCTACAAGTTGTGTTTAAGTTTCGCTTAAGTTTTTAAGTTAGAAAATAACGTTTCATATTGTCATGTGATTGTCTACAGTTACTATATAGCCAATACCATATAAAATATGTCATTAAAATCTCTTTTAATGACAGTTAATCAAACTCCTGCAGTCAGGTGCTAGTAAACAGAATAAAGCAAAACTTCTGCTGCTCACCTCGCCACAAATGTTTCCCGAAGACTTTGAATGTATTATAACGCGTTAGATACGGTGAAGACCAGACGTATGCTTCGGTTATTTATAGCGATTTAGTGTTCTATCATACTTTTCGATACTTTTTGAAAACAAAAATATTATAGATGGGTTATTTGTCGTCAAAGATGGCGCACGAACGGTACCGGAAGTACAAATATTTGAGTGATTCTTCTTCTTCTTCTTGGTGTTTAATGGCGGATGGCATACAACTTTTAGGTGCATTACCGCCACCTACTGATTAGGAGTGTGGATCAGGATCGTACTCTTCACTAAATTCTATTATATAATCCAGTGTCCTTTAAATAACGCATTAAAAATTGAAAGTTTTTATCCCCTGAAATTATTCCCCAAAATGTTCATCAAATTAAGTTTTTCTTTATTTTCCTTGAGGACAAGGACTTTCTTCTTCTTCTTCTTCTTCTTGTTTTATGGCGGGTGGCATCCGCGAAAGGACTTTTGTTTTTAGTTCACAAAACGTACAAAACATTATTTAACAGCTAAGATAATTTGAGATAAAGAACAAACAACAACAATAATAATACAGGAATAAACATTAAAAACAAACCAGTTCATGCCTTCCGCCTTCCTCCAAATTTGCGGACTCATGCGATCTCCTCTCAGATTGTCTTGATCCAGCAATATTGTCGTTTGCTTTCCCGCGACCTCCAGTCCTCTATTTGAGTGATTCTTCTTTGGTAGTGTTTAAAAGTTGAGGTGTTTGTAGCGCCCCCTACTGCATAATCAGTACATATGACGAGATACACCAGAAGAGAAATAGAAAGAGAGCTTACCCATTCTTTGCTTTTGAAAATGAAGATATTTAAGCAAATACATTTCCTCCAACTTGTTATTTTACTATTTAAATCTCTCTCTTCACGATAGGATTGCTGAGATTGCAAAAAAAAAAAAAAAAAGTTCGAGATTAAAATCGCAATTAATCCGTCACGTGCAATTTTGCATTCGATTGTGATAATGCATTGTGTCACTTTAGAGAAATAGTTATTATTATTTTGCAATTGTAATATTTATATTCCTGGAAAAATAGCTTAAATATATATTTCTAATGAATTTAACATTTTGCATTAAAATATATTCTATGCTGTTGTGTTTTCATCAGTAAATACAATATAATATCTAATAATAATAATAATTTCCAAAATGTGACACACTGCATTATGTTTGATACACAATTTACTGCAAAAGTACACACTGATTTGCTTTTAAATCTTGAGCACTGGAAACCTAAGGGAGAGATTTATATGGAGTAAAATAAAAAGTTGGAGCCAATTAATTTGCATAAACCTCTCAATTTTCATCAACAAATCTATAGATAAAAGAATGCATACGCCATTCATCCAATATTATCCGTAGCCCGTTGGTGGCGCTGATGGTCTCTGGTTTGAACTGTTTTCTCATTAATGGGGAAACTTCAACCACACCTCAGTGCTCTGGGAAACAGAGTCATTTCCACCGACAGCTCTCCCGCACAAGAGTTGCTTCACTCCAGCCGCTCACTGGGGCTCTCGTTTACCTCTAAGGTAACTTTTTTCTTTCTATTTTAATTTATGCTAGAAAATAAGATAACTTTCCAAGTCTCGAGTGGACTTTATCAATTCATTTGAGGCTCTAACATGGCCCGGGATCGATCGAGCCGGTTGTTGTGCCAAACTTTCAGTTATAGTCGAGTCTGAATAGGAACAGCGCCTGTGTGCTTGAGTAATAAAGACGAGAAAGATAAGCGATGGACGCTGATAGTCTAGTTAACTTCAGTCGGATGACTCTCTGACAACTTAATAATCGAGCTGCTGCAAGTTAAAACTAGTCGAGGAGAGGGAAAAAAGCATTTTTAAAATTTTACACACTGTTTTATTGTTTTCCTTAAAACTTCCTCTGGGCTGTGCTTGCGACTGAGTGGGTTGTTTCTTTGTAATGTAAACCGTGTTTACTCGTTTACTGAATTGTTTATTTCAGGTGTGTTTTAGTAGCTGTCAGTTTAACGCGTTTGTTACACTGATTTTCCGTGTATTTCACTTAGTTGTATCGGTTTAGCACTATGAAGTGTACTCAGTGTCCAAGAAAGTGCTGTCTTAAACTAGTGAACTGCCTTCCTAGACAGCATAAAAAGCCATATGATTACTGTCTAGTTAGATCGTTCAGATCAGTTTAAGACGGCTGCAAAGATTAGTTTGTGTAATTAGTTTATTTATTTAAAAAAACTCCCATGGTACTACTTTTTTACAATATACCATCATAATACCATATGCTATTCTTTGAAATGAATTGGGGTGTCATGTTAATATCAACATGGATATTTTAATCATTCAGCACAATTGTATATCAATATGGTATTACAATATGATAAGGTAATATCATATCACTGCATGATGGTACTGCTATAGGGCTTTTTCTTTTACAAAAAAATGCACCGTTGTTTTTTTTTTGTTTTTTGACATATCATGAAAATCTGACTTTTCCAGGTTTTAAGTGCTATAATCAGGTCCCTGGTGCATCTACCAACCAAGGAAACGTGAAAAAGATTAACCCAGTAACTTTGTTTTGGTAAGCCTTTTTCTGCAAGCATCTGAGAAAACAAGTGCATCTGATTTCGCTCCCTTGGTGATGTGGCAAAGGGATCTCATTATAATATTACCGCCCCTTAATCTGTAAGTTTACACCCACGGCACCGTTATTGTGTTT